TAAAGATGACATAACCCAACATCGAAGCGACCTTGTAATGCTCAAGGCCTTTGTGCACAACCTCCAGGAAAAGATCTCAGGTTCAACTGCACACCAGCACAAGCCAAAAGATTATTCAAAGGACGAATCATGTAGAAGAGATGCTCATCGTTCAAAACCGTTTCCCAAAATGACTTTAATAATGGATCTCTTGTATGATCAAATACATCCACAGGAACAGAAACTTCGCCTCCGTTACAACATGCCGATTGCCTCTCGTTTGGAAATAGCAGTGCACCACATGATGTACACACTTTGTTCATTTCTCCTAGTGTAAAACACTCCTCATAAACATCAAGACATGCTACACCTTTCCTCCTTTTCACTCTCCTATCAAACACGTGACGTGATAGTGAAACGTTCAATACAATTTCTATATCCTTCAAAACATTCCGAATGACGTCACCGTCAAAATCCACTTCCATTGGCAAACCATTCGCAAAATATTCATTTACAATTGCACATATAGCACCCGCTTGAGTATCCAAACACGAGTAGGTACATTGGCTCTTGATAGGAAGCCTTTTGAATGAAACATTCTTGATTCCGTGCTCTGCAGCGACACTCCTGAGTCTTCTTCGCAGTGTATTTTCGAAATGCTTTGTAACGAAATCCACCACAAAACCATGATATCCTCTACATTCTTTTCGAATAACTACGACTCCAACATTCTTCGTCATCGTAACATAGAGAATGATCAATGACAGCAGCTCACAAGTGCAATCGTCGTCTTTAGCACATTCATCGCAATCCAATACAATGAAGCGCACATCGCTGCGATCGTCGTACTTCTTCCGAAAGTACTGCACAATCAGGCAGGGTGAAACCCACGTGTCTCCGAGGGAAACATGAATTATGATTGCAGTTCCATCAATTTCTCTTGGACCCCCCAGTTTTCTTTTATTTCTAAAAGGGTAAACACCTGGCGATCCTTCGGTGTCCTTCTGCTTAAGTACTTCACCACATTCTCCATACATTATATTACAATAATCATGATCCAAGAGAGCATAGAGACGATATCGATCACAAACATTCGCTTTCATCAAAATTCAGCAGTGTTGACGACTTAATGCTTTCTGATTGACAGAAACACACATTAGCATTGAGATCAATATGCGAAAATTCTCTACTTCCACTGTAACCCTGGAAAAAACCTGCAGTATTCATTATCCTGTGCTTAATATACTGACGATAAGCAGACAAAAATGTCGCTGTAGCAACTTCCTGAACAGTGCGTTCTTCTTTACACAAACGTTCAGCGTAAAGACACACGTAAACTCCACAATTTAACCATCACGTTGTAAGTGTACAGCTGCAGAAACTATAATAGCTGCGAATTGCCTATCAGTCACTTTACGCCAAATGCCTTCCAGCAAGTTTTTTTCTTGAACAGGAATCGAACTAGCACAGTAGCAGTAGTCATTTGCCATTGTATCATAAAGCACAATAGTCTTGTGAAGAATTCGCAACCATGCAAGAGCCCAATGCGTTCCGTTCCTCATATTGAACGGAAAAAGAAGTTCACCCCTCACCAATGGATACGATGAAATCCTGTAAGACTCCAGTGTTTGTATCAGACACGGATCTAAACAGCGAAACATCGTCCCTCGAGCCACAATATTGATGAAAGC